GCCCCACAAAGCGTACGCGTACATTGAGCACACTTGCGGCCGTCCGCCGCCGGACCACCCCGCCCTCTCCTCTCTCCACCACCCTCGCCCAGGGATCTAAGCGGCGCGAAGCCTAATATGCACGCTTGTCACCCTGGCAGTTTACGTTTCTTTTCTCTACGAGTGAGAGAAGCCTCGCTCAATCCTAGAAGTCGAAGGATTGTGAGCAGCAGTCCTCGCAATCGTACAAGCGTCTCTGTTGTGCGACTTCTAGGATTTGGGAGGACGGCACCTCGTCACGCCGCCACCACAATTGTTGTTAGTGCCGTTGCGCGCCCGTGTGAGTGAGTGAGTGAGTATTCTTGATACGAAACCACGACGACACACACCAGTCGACTCGCATCGGTTGCCTCCATTAACGGCGGAGCTATTCTCGCGCCCACACCACACCTGGCTCCAACGTGGACACGCCCATAGCTGGGGACACTACTAGGTCATGCATGGCATCAGAAGTTTTATCTCTGGGCCCCGAAACGCATCTCTAGCAGCGTCGTTACGCATGCGCCCTCCCCTCCTGGGCGCGTGCGCCTCACGTCTCGCCAGAGCATACGCCCTTGGTGTGTGGCGAGACGAGTTTTTCGCCATGCAGCGAGCAGCAAGCCGCCCGCCGCAAACAGCCGGAGGCATCGTCACGGCACTGACTGCGCCGCGATCCCGCACCCGTCGACGAAGCTCCCCCCGCGGAAGACCGCGCGTAGCGACGCCTTGACGATCGAGATGAGCGCGCTCGAGGCTCGCCCACCTACTGCCCCTGAGAGTTGGTTATGAGTGGGCTCGGCTCCCCCCCTTGGGATCGACACACACACACACACACACACACACACACACACACACACACACACACACACACACACACACACACACACACACACACACACACACACACACACACACACACACACACACACACACACACACACACACACACACACACACACACACACACACACACACACACTCGCCATCGGTGCATCGCGCGCGCGATTTCTTTCGGGGTCTTGTTTATTATCTTGATTGTGTCATATGTCGGCTGCCTCGCTGGTCGCCTTGCTTTCATTGGGCTTCGCACCGAAGGAAGTGCCAAAGGATGCATGCGAGTGCCCAGAGCAGAAAGATGTGAATATGTTGGGAGGCCTCACGGGCACACTCCGTGGGGTGGGCGAAGACAAAAACATTTTGTTCTCCGAAGGCGACAACGAAGACAACGAATTGGTTTATACCATCGCCTTGCAGTCCGCAAGCCTTGCTGGCCGCGGCAATGAAGTTGACGAGAACGACATCACCGCTTCCGAGATCAGCACCCTCGCTCGCCGTGGCGGCGTCAAGCGCATCTCGGGCCTAATCTACGAGGAGACGCGCGGCGTGCTCAAGGTCTTCCTCGAAAACGTGATCCGTGACGCGGTCACCTACACCGAGTCGACTACCGTGACGGAAGTGGACGTCGTCAACGTTTTCAAGCGTCGGCGCCCCGTCGCGCTCCGTGAGATCCGCCGCTACCAGAAGTCGACAGAGCTGCTGATCCGCAAGCTGCCCTTCCAGCGCCTGGTGCGCGAGATTGCGCAGGACTTCAAGACTGACCTGCGCTTCCAGTCGTCGGCGGTCGTCGCGCTCCAGGAGGCCTCCGAGGCGTACCTGGTTGGCCTCTTCGAGGACACCAACTTGTGCGCCATCCACGCCAAGCGCGTCACCATCATGCCCAAGGACATCCAGTCGCCCGCCGCATCCGTGGCGAGCGCGCTTGAGCAAGCACCCACCTGCTGGGCCCACTTCTGCCGGCGATCGGCTAGCTCGGGCGCGCGTGCGTGGCTTAGCACCATCGTCTGTATGCGCAGCAGCACACAAAAGCTTGCATCTGCATGTCTAACGTATATGCGGCTGTAATACAGTAAAAAGTTGTTTCTGTAAATACGTAA